GGTGTGGGTGTAGGTGTAGGTGTGGGTGTAGGTGTAGGTGTGGGTGTGGGCAGGTGTGTGGTGGGTGTACTGTTAGCGTTTGTGATGAATCGCTGTCGGTAAACTACCGATTAAGTTGGTCCTTCCAGTTTAACTGCCTTAGGACATCTGTCCGTATATGAGAAGATGTGGGTGCGAATCCAACGAAGGTCATATTTTTCTCCATTTTGTCTTTGTGTTCTTTCTTTCGCTGATGTCGTTTTCATGACTCTAATATGAACCTAACATGTATAATGTATATAAAACCTACACACTCATCTACCCACACTCATTGATACCCACCGCCACCCCTACCCATGCCTCATTAACATCAGTGCTAACAAGCACATCTACACCCACCCACCCACACCCACACCCACACCCACACCCACACCCACACCCGCCTCACACTCACAGCCACACTACACCCACCCACACCCACACCCACCCACACCCACACCCACCCACACCCACACCCACCCACACCCACACCCACACCCACCCACACCCACACCCACCCACACCCACACCCACACCCACACCCACACCCACACCCACACCCACACCCACCCAACCAACAATTCGTGATGAAAATTGATGTTACAAATATGTGCTTGTTTTCAAAGTTAAAACTTTGTCTTGTTTTAAAAAAAAGACAAAATAGAAATCGTTTTACATCTCTTTTATTCTTCTATATCATTTTATTCTATCTAATGATATTGACTTGTTTCATTAAGCATAATAACATGTGGATTTTGTAATTTTTTTCGAGGAAAAACAGTGAAGTTATAATATATTTCTGAAAATATCACATTAATTTCTATTACTTGTTTGTGTAACCGTTGACGATGGTTTTTTTATCTCATTCATTAAACTGATTCTAGTTACTTTCATATATAAGAAATGAATATACACGTATTTCACACAATAATGTATATGATTTTTTTTTGTTTGTTATCGGTAGTTTGTATAGTAAAACTACTGTCAAAATAAGCCTAACAAATCATATTTATCAAATATGATCATAATTAAATTATTTAACTACCTGATTAATATATAGTTGATCAAAATAAATGCCTGCTTGAACAAGAGAACATCGAATATTAGCCATATCATCACTTTTAATAGACGTTTTGTGTGAAAAAATTATGCTAAACAATAACTTCTTACCGACTATCAGTTTAAAATGTGTTTAATAAATTCAGAGTATTTCTAATTGTCTTTAATATTAGCTGGAATATGTGAAACTTACGTCATCTACAATGACATAACATTTCACAAACAAAAAAATATTGAATTATATTTTTTTACTTTTTAATTTAGGCTTTTCGATTCGTAGAAATGAAAAATGGTATGTTTATTTTCTGGGATTAACTGGAGACTACCCAGCTATTAAACTTGCATTAAATCATATTAGTAATAATGGATATTATTCTTGCTGGTTCTGCAAGATCCGAGGTATTCATACGGCCAATAAGCGCCAATATTATTATCAAGAAGTTTTTAATATGAGAAGCATTAACAGCTATAGAAATGAATCAAAAGAAGCTGAAGTCAAACATGAAAATGTAAATGGTCATTTAGGTTTGTCATTTTTTCATGAACTACTTGATATACAACTTCCACATTCAATCTTAATGGACTACATGCACATTACTTTGCTGAGACATACTCGTTGTGTGGTTTTGCAAATATATGCAAGTATTGTACCAAAAACAAGATCAGAAATTGGTGGCCAATTAAAGTTTCAACAGTTCCCACATACATTCAATAGGACACTAAAGCCTATCAAATCGGGACATATAAAGTACGATCGGTTTGTATGATGCTCTTATACTTAATATAGCTGAGATATTTTCATAAAAGAAATTTGAACTATCACGATACTTTGTTTTTATTTAAACATGTTTGTGTATAATCAAGTCTTGATATTCCATTATATATCTTTATGAATAGTATTAGTGTATCAGTTTTAATAAATGTCCGTTGAACATTATTGTCTTAGTACTTGAAATTGAAATAGATAGATCATTGAAAATTTTAATAGTATTTTGATGAACTTGACTAATACTAATATTAACATTTATTTGTTTAAATTTTTGCTTAAATTTAATTTAACTATTTTGTCCTAAAATGGATATGAATCTATGATATTTTTTCAGTTTTATTTTTATCAATCTAAGTGCGTATAAATATTGTATGCAATTCAAAATTCACAGATTATGTCTTTATAGTTGGTTTCAAAAAATATATTCAACAAGCTAGTGTTTTTCTATTGTTTATTTTTTTGACTGTCCGTAACTTTCCAATGATGAATAAATAAGTACTAGAATGCAAATTAATTATTTTCTAGAGCATCAGAAATAAAAAATCTATTATTTTATGCGTTATTACCTATATTCTATCAGCATCTTCAAGTGGATAAAGCTGCTCATGTTGCTCTTTTAGTTTGTGCTATTCGTGTAAGTTCTTTTACATCATGTAATTACTATTTTTCTCTTTGTTATCTTGTAACAGATGCTTCATGGTCCTAAATTATTTGGATATGAAACCTGTGTTTTACCTCATGATTTATTATCAATATATTACAGAGATCATTCGAAATATTATGATAATCCGGAAAATTTAGTTTTACATTTGCACATACACTATTCGAATCAATATTTAAACTATGGTAGCTTAAATAATACAAATTGTTTTGCACAAGAAAGTTTCCTTGGTGCATTTGCAAAAAATAAACATGGTACTCATCACTGGGGAGATTTACTGGTTCATCATTTTAATGTTAGATATTCTTTTCCGAGCCATATAACATTTTTAATTTTTTTGAACCTTTAGATTGATTTTGCTTTACAAAAAATAATCAATCAGTAGGAAGTTGATAATGTCAATCATAATGAAGGAGCTTTTGATGTAGCACATTTATCGATCAATAATATAGAGAAGCTCCTGTCATGGCATCAACGTGTATGTGATTGCAATCAACCTGCAATATGTATCATTATTTATCATCGCTCTATTATTAGAGGTCAAACATATCATTCTCTTTCTTATCGAAAACGACAATCAAGTAATAGTTTTTTCGTAAAGTACACTAATGATCGTCGTGATATATTATTTGGAGCAATTGAACTATTTTTTACGTATAAAATTTTTACTTTGGCCCTCGTTAACAATTATCCAAGTAAACATCTCTTTTCTGATGTTTTTGCTTCTTCTTATTATTATCATTCATGTCTATCCAAATATATCAATATGTACTTTGATGTACTTCAAGAAAAACCATCATCATTTCATTATATACCAATTCATCAAATACTAAACTTATGCGTTGTTTTCAAAAAAGACAACTTTATAACTGTAACTCCTATTTCTCAAGCCTATGAACATGATTAAAGAATTGTACTTTATTATTGTCTATGTATCTCGAATCTAATACGATTATTTGCATTTTCAACATAGAAAGATGTTTTTCTGTTTAAATCTATAAAATATCCAAGTTTATCCGAACATTTAGCTAAAAAAAGTAGAACTTTATGGACATTTTTGAGCATTAGAATTTTCGTTCTGTGACTGGACGTAAATACAATCCTGACTTATATAAAAGACTAGTATATTTTATGCTATTTCAGATTTTTTCCTTTCACATGCACTCCACAAATAATAGTCAACGTAAACATATTGCTCGCAAGATATATACGCCAACTCAAAAGTCGTCAGCTACAATTGCAAAATATTATCTATTGTTTTTCAATGAAACTGAAACATATCAAATTGTAGCTAAAAGTAGTATCAAATGCGTTGACGATCATGGGATAGCTAGAATCACAATTAATAAAAAACAAATCAAAGGAAAAATTATTCTTACTGGTGTTTTTTAAGTTAATCATTGACTTCAATCTTTTTACTTTCTTTTCTTAGATTCCTTTGATGAATGTGAGAGGGAAATGAGCCGAAGAACACGCCTTTCTCAACAAGATAATAATAGTAAAATTCTGTGAATTTTCTGTTCCATCAATAATTTAATATTGCAGATGATTTTGATTCTCAAAAAGATGATGCTGATGTAGAGAATGACGTCGTAACAGTTGATACACAACATCGAATTTCAACTCAATCTCAGTTTCCACATGATTCATTAGCTAGACTGAATTACGAATCAGCATGTAAATAATTAAACGAAATCATTGGTTTACATTTCTTTTAAATCAATTCAAATACTTTTTTTTGTAGCAGATGATAGTGGAAAAGAAAATGAAAAATATAACGAAGATGATGAGTTATCAGATCAATACGTCAAATCAATAAAAAAAAAGAATACAAATAAAAGAAAATCCACAACTGATCATGTTGGTAAAAAAAGAAAAAAAATTGTTAAAGAAGGTTAATTCTCTGCTGTAAATCCTCTGATATTATTATGCACTTTTCTCTAGGCGATGAACATGTTCAGTCTAGAAAACTAGACACACAATCTGAAATCAGTTATTCTGGTAATTATTATTGTTACCAGTTATTTAGATAAAAAATATTTAATTCATATTAGGTGTTTCTATTTTGAACGCTATTGAAAACAAATTCTTAGGATTGGAAAACAAATTGCTCTTGATTGACAGTAAAAATGATAAACAAATGGCGCATTTAACTAAGAAAATTGATCATCTAACAGCCTCATCCATATATGTTAGTTTCTCATTAATTTATATTAAGAGGAACAGATTGATTTCAAATACTAGAAATTCACTTGTTTCCCTTGTTCTGTATAAATTATTTTTCTTTTCTTAGAACAAGGTGGTGCTTGATCAATATCGCGATCAAACAAATGAAGAGTTTGATAAAGAATTGGTGAAGATAATATTCTTTCACATTAGAATAATTGTTTTTTTATTGATAGATGTATGAAGATACGAATCTATTAAGAACAGTAGCATCATCGTTTGGTGATTTTGCGCGCAAAACCATGCGACTTGTATTTAATGCGCATGAATTAACAACACAAATTCTTCCTCCACAAAGACATTATCTAGCTCGAACAAGTTTAAATGAGAAAAAATTCCAATTAGTAAATGGTATAATAATATTTTATATATATTTTAATAGTACGAAAATATATTTTTTTATCAAGATGCTATTCGCATCAAGTTCAAGATTGATAGCACGAAATATGCTGCATTTTATAAAAATATTTTGAGAAGAAAATTATCTGATTTTCTTATTGAAGAACGTCGTCGAGGATTAAAAAGGATTGGTCGTGATCATATTCAAAATGAAACTATGGAAAATTCATCTTGATTAGATCGATTTATTATAATACAAATTAACGAAAAATAATATAGATGTGTCGCATTTTTTTCTAATGCTCATTCAGCTATTTTATTTTATTTTAACCGATTCATATGTACCGTTCTAATTATCATATTGTTCGTGAAATTTCTTCGAAAGTGTTTTTACTCACGTTTTATATCTTTCAAAGAATGAGGAGATTAAAATCCATTATATATTATTTTATTCGTAGACAAATAGTATTTACTAAAAATATCATCTCATCTAGTATTTCTATCTATCAGTTAGGAATGCTGCTGGGACCATAATGTTATTTTTTTATCCTCATTCTTGTTTTTTTGTCTTTTTATTTACATTATTGTTTTTATTTGCTTTTTCATTCGCACTTATTTTACAGATAAAGTTTCTCAGTTGTTAAACGAAATCGATTAAGATTATTAAACAAAAGTATAGCAGTTAAATTACAAAGAATGTTTTTTTTCAATATGTTAAATCAGTATTTTATTGAAGAGCATGATTGGTTCTTGTATAAATCATATCTTCTCATCAAAAAGTATATCACACATTTAAATACAAAAACGCGAATGAATACAAGGTAAACAATTTTAATCAGAAGCAAAACGAAAAGTTCACGAATAAACCCAGGTGATTCATTCCGACCGGCGGATCCGATCGAAAACTATCGGATACGACGTCGGAACGCATCAGGAATTAGCAGGAAACCCAGAAAAATCCGATCGGATCCGACCAAGATTTCACCAGAATCCTAACAAACGGATTCCGACCCGGATTACGTCGGAAAAGATCCGATCGATTCCTGTCGCATCCACTTGTCGGAAACGATCCAAAATGACCGGATCCGGTCCCAGTGAAACATCGGAAAACACTCCGACTCGACCGTTTTTCATCGGATACCAGTATATCCGATCAAATATTTGGTGATAATTACTTCTTCCACGCAAATATGACCGTTAAATTTAACACAATTTTTCAAACTAACCCGCCTCAAATCATATGATTTCAGTACCCCTTTCTCTGCATTCCACTCAATTCCTTATATAATTCGCATAAAAATCCAGTAATCTTGCAAAATTACAATGTAATTCATCAAGATTAAAAACTAATTACCTAAGATTACACGGTAATCCACCAGAATTGCCATGTAGTTCACAAAAATTATACTGTAATTCAGCGAAATTACACCGTCGTTCGTGAAAATTACACTGTAATTCACACAAATTCCACTATAATTCATAAGAATTACACTGCAGTTCAATAAAATTACACCGTAGTTCATAAAAATTACAATGTAATTCACACAAATTTCACTATAATTTATAAAAA